GGAAGACTGGGCTATTTATCCGGAACCATTTTTGATCAAACTACAAAATATTTTCTTAGGACTTGTAAATATTATTGAAGAAAAGGAAACAGAGGTAGGCACTCAGTTTGTTTGTGGGGGACACTGTTTTTTAAATTTTTTTTTAGGAGACATTAGACGTATGATGTGTTATTATTGTTGTTAAGTGCTATCGAGTTGGTTTCTACTCATAGAGACCCTAGATAGGGTTTCCGAGGAGTGACTGGTGGGTTTGAACCACCGACTTCACTGTTAGCAGTCTAGTTTATCTTATATAGATTTGAGTAATATTTCCTTGTGAAAAGTATCTAATGTCTTCCACTACAGAGGAGTCCTGGTGAGGCACTTTTAGGATAAGCACTCAACATCAAGGTTGGTTGCAGCTTCAAAGTTGGCAGTTCAAACTCACCAGCTGCACATTGGAAACCCTGTATAGGGTAGCTGTAAGTTAAAACTGATTCGATGACACTAAACAACAACAACTACTGCAGAGCGATTTTTGTTGCTGGTTTTGCTAATTCTAAAACTATATACGTACATTTAAGAGGAATATTCTGTGTTCTATTATGTTAAAGTTGATAGCTAAATTTTCATCTGATGACATGAAAAAGTTTACTATATTGTAGTTGTTAAATGTCAAATTGGTTCTGACTCATAGCAACCCTGTATAAGGCTTCCAAGGAGAGATTACTGAGCTTGTCGATCTTGTGATTCAGAGTTACCTTGCAGTCCAGTGCATTAACCTGCAGCACCACATCAGGACTCCATATATATGTATATTGTTGCTAAGTGCCATTGAGTTGGTTCCAACTCGTAGCAACCCTGTATAGGGTTTCCAAGGAGCAACTTGGTGAGTTTGAACTGATGACCTTGTGGTTTGAAATTCAGTGCTGATCCCATAGTGCCATACCAGGAGTTCCATATACATATATGGATAGCACGGAATTTTTGTAGCATAGTGGTGTATGTGTTGAGCTGCTAACTGCAAGGTCAGCGGTTCGAATCCACCAGTCCCTTCACAGGCAAAAGAAGCCTTTCTGCTCCAGTAAAGATTTACAGCTTTGGAAACCCTATACAGAGTCATTATGAGTCCGAACTGACTTGACTGCACACAACCACCACCAGCACCAAATAGAAAAGTCAAGCAAGAGCGATATATACATATATGTATATGGATGTATGTATGGTTGTTAAGCGCATTCGAATTGGTTCCGACTCATAGCAACCCTGTATAGGGTTACAGAGGAGCAGCGGCTGGTGGGTTTGAACTGCCGATCTTGAGGTTGCCAGTCCATGCTTGTCCTATAGCACCACACCAGGATTCCAGCATCATTCTTCTGTGGAGCAGCTGCTGGGTTTAAGATCAACTTATTGCTTAGCTCGGAGACCATACCACCAGGGCTCTTAATTTATTTATACAACTAGCTGTAATTTAACAATGTGAAAATATGCCATATTTATATGTCCTTTAAAGCCTTAGAAACCTATACTGGGTGGCTATGAGTCAAAACTCTCTCAACAGCATTTAACAAGAAAACAATACATATCATTACGCTTACTATTGTATATATATTTTATGATAAGTAAAGTAATATTATATGCTCTAATAATGTTACTTGTTTTCTACACTGTTACGCTGTAGCTCTTATTGTTGTTGTTAAGTACCATCGAGTCGGTTCCAACTCATAGTGACCCTGTATAGGATTTCCAAGGAGTGCCTGGTGAGTTTCAACTACTGACCTTGTAGTTCAAATGACGTTACAGTCTAGTGCATTAACCCACAGTGCTACAGCAGGACTCCAGCTCTTATCTAGTTGCCTTTAAATGTAAATTGTGATTATCTATTAGCTGGACTCTGACACTAGATGCGAAAAAAATCTATACTATGCTGTATTATAGAGTCCTGGTGTGGTGCTATAGGATGAACACTGGGCTGCAAAGTCGGTGGTTCAAATTCACCACTCATTCCTTGGAAACCCTATACATGGTCACTGTGAGTAGGAACCGACTCTTCAGCACTTAACAACAACAAGCTCTATTATAGAAAGAACCTAGCCAGTTTTGGCTCAGTCATTGTATCTATAGTGCATCTTATGGTTGCCTTGCACCAATAAAGATACCACAAAAAATAGATGAATAAATGTATGAATGACTATTTCTTTAGTTGGTAAAGTATATTGTTGTTATGTCGTCACATTGTACTTGGGAATGTGAGTGGGTATCCAGTTGGATGGTTTGTATTGTATTACAAATATTGTAACAATATGACTTTAAGCAAGCAAAGGAAAATGTTACAATAGTACACCTTTCTGTAGGATGTACCAGATGATCTTGATGGTGCTCCTATTGAGGAAGAGCTTGATGGTGCACCTCTTGAAGATGTGGATGGAATTCCTATTGATGCTACTCCCATTGATGATCTTGATGGAGTCCCTATAAAGAGTCTTGATGATGATCTTGATGGAGTGCCTTGTAAGTTCAAATTTTATACTAATGGTATCTTGCTAATAATACGTTTGATTACCAAAACTCCTTTGTTTCTACACATGCTGATATGGTTATAACTTCTCGTTAAGAAGGTATCAAGTTACTTACTCTCTTCTCTTTTCTCTTGACCTTTTAATATACTTTAGTAATACACTTATATTTTATTAAAGTGCCAAAAAGATTCTCTTTTTGGTCACATTTTTGTGTTGGGGCAGTCAGCCTCCTTTATTATAAGCAAATTTCTCTTTACAGCTTAATGTTATGAAACTATAGGCTAAGTATAGTGTTTTATTATATTCATAACTCCAGTTGTGTGGTTTTATCTGTTCTGTTCCTTGGTTTTCCCATTAACTCTGTTTTGCTACTGAAATCATTTTTGGAAATAAGTATGCACAATCTTAAGTGCGTTTGAATCACATTAAAATAATGAGCAATAAATGAATTTTGTAGTTTAAACAATAATCAAAGTGTTGAACATTTTTTACTTTCTGAACTTCTCCATTGTTTGAAATTTTAGTGATTGTGTTTTCTTAGTTGATAATACTCTTTGAAAATCGGACCTCAGGTACAGAGAATTAGATAAGTCATAATCCTTCTTGACACTCTAATCATTATTCCATGCATGGCCTTATTTTATTTTACTTGTTAGTATTATAGTGAATGTCAGTGAACCCATTGCTTCGATTCAACCTCTAGTAATCAAAGGTAATGGTGCATCTTTCCCCAATAGTGGATGCGACAGAAGACTCAAAGAAAAATGAGCCTATATTTAAAGTTGCCCCATCAAAATGGGAAGCTGTTGATGAATCAGAATTGGAAGCACAAGGTGAGTCTAAAACTACAAAAAATTAAATACTTCTCAATTAATCATTGTGTGTATGTGTACTTTCCTTTTGTGTTCTATGACATGTCGGAACCTTAAGACCAAGTTTTGTCTTATTTGTGTATCTTGTGGTTATTAAACTTCATTGTGGTTGCTGGTATAATTTTCTAAGATCCTTCATTTTGGAAGCTTATGCAAGTAATCAGAGAAATCATTAAACTTTTAAAGTTAAAGGCATTTTGGTAGAGAATGTAAAATGTACCTGTTTGGAAATCTGTTTAGAGGTCTGTTTCAGAGAAACCAAACTTTGACCTTCTTACATGCCTGACTTAATTAGATGCAGTATAGCCCAGCCTACCTTTGATAGCTTACTTGGACATGTATCCTAGTGCTTATAATCTATAATTGTTAATATTAATAGTTTCTGATTAAATAAGTCCTACCTGCTAGCATAGAAGTGAGGATGATAATTTTATTTCTCACACCATGCATTTGAATAAAATTACAGTGTAAGTGTGAGGAAAGAAGTAGATTTATTTAGCACATAGAAATGACTGTTAATAGAATAGATACATGTAGATAAAAACTTCTGTAACATAAACTTTTAGTTCTGAAGCTGGGCTTCTACTGTGTTACTACAAAAAATGCTAGTATACGTTATAAAATTACGTCCTGTTTTTCCTTCCATTCAGCTGTAACAACTTCTAAATGGGAGTTGTTTGACCAGCATGAAGAATCAGAAGAAGAAGAAAATCAAAAGTAAGAATCTAAGTTTCAATATACTCAGTCTCAGTTCCTTGTTTATATACACTCTCTTTTTCATTAAGGGTTATGGTTGAAACAATGGTGAAGAGGAAATCTTCACTTTTTAAAAAAACCTTGTAAGAGGATCATTTTAGTTCTCTATTGTTTTCTTAGTGAATAAAGAGCTTTTGGTTTCTAGTCTTGATGCATCTGGTTTCACCTTGCTTTGAGTTTCTTTTCTTTTGTTAGGTTGTGCACTTGCTTTGTAGTTTCTAATTGATCAGCTGCATGTGTTTCAAATCTTTGTCATCAAATACTGTTTTGAGCTGTACAGAAAGATATGAGTGAAGATTTTGTTCATTTTTGTGTGTATTTTACTAAGAAAAATAATTGTATTGTGCCCATTCTTTTATTTAAGTGTAAAAAATTTCAGAATTAATAATGTGGAAACATCTTTAAAATCTACTGTCATAGAGTTGGTTCTGAGTTACGGGACAAAATAGAACTGTTCTTTAGTGTTTCAGAGACTGTAAATCTTAACAGAGCAGATGGCTTCATCTTTCCTTCCACAAAGTGGTTGGTGGGTTTGAATCATGTATGTTAGTAGTGCTCTCGAGTCAATTCTAATTCATACCTTGCAAGGTCAGTGGTTCAAGCTCACCAGCTGCTCCTTGGAAACCCTATACAGGGTCGTTATGGGTCGGAATTGACACTTAACAACAACAACAACATAGGGCTTCTAAGGAGCACCTGGTAAGCTTGACCTGCTGACCTTAAGTTTCAAACCAACCTTACAGTCCAGAGCAATTAGCCCACAATGCCTTGTAATTTTGATTTTTGCTGTAATTATCCCAAAATGGTTTTGCATTTGGCATCAAATATGATTTTAGGAATTCCTTCTACCAAATTTTCATGCATGCAAGTTTGTGTTGGTAACTTTTAAGTAGTACTAACACTTTTAAATGATTGCAAAGGAAGTTGATTTTTAAATAGGAAAAGAGATGACCTTAAGAATACAAAACAGGTTTGTTTGGTTTTTTTTCCTTTATATAAAAAAGGAAAAAGTATGTGTATGTTCTTTTATTTTCCAATGGAAGAATCAATAAGGAGAAATAGCTAAATTTATAAAAAGCACATTTTGGATATTTGTGTGAATTCAGTCAGTGGGCGTTACTAGCATTAGCATTGCTAAGGAAAAGTGGTAAGTCAGTTTATGGAAACACAGTTTGATGGGATGAGAAAAAAAAAAAAGGATGGCCTTCCAGAGATGCTAGTGTGATTAGAACAAGTCAGCAATGATTATGACAAAATATAGATGTGTTTATCTAAGGAAGTAGGTATCTGAGGCTGATTAGGACTACAGGAATTGGGAATGGTTTTGTTGAATTTGCTTTAAAGCAGTGTTGTAGGCTTTTTGTTTTGTTTTAATCATTTTCACGTCCATGAGCCTATCAATAATAAGGACTCTTGTCATTTCAGGGTCGCTTTTTAAAAATGAGTGGATGTACTTATAAAAAGATTATGATTATTTTATTTGGTGGGAGGTTGAAGGATAGAAAAATCTTTGCTTCTAAATTGTCATTGTAGAACTAACTCAGTGTGTTCATTTGATTTGTTTCTACTTTTTTTTTTGGCGTAATTCTTCTGGTGTGGTGGTGTAGGGTAACCACTAAACTGTTTACCACAAGGTCAACAGTTCAAACCCACCCCTGCTGGTCCTTGAAAACCCTATGCAGGGTCGCTGTGAGTCAGAACTGGCTCCACAACATTTAACGACGTGAATATTCGGTGCAACCTCAATGTTAAAAAACAAACAAAACAAAAATCCTCCACTGGACCAATAAATGGCATCATAATAAGTGTAAATAAGTTTGAAGTTGTAAGGTTTAATTTTGCTTGGATCCACTATCAACACTCACTGAAGCAGCAGTCAAGAAATCAAATTATGTATTACATGAGGCAAATCTGCTGCACAAGACCTCTTTAATAGTGTTCATGAGCAAAGATGTCACATTGATGACTAAGATGCGTCTGACTGAAACCATGGTGTTTTCAATAACCTCATCCTGGTGTGGCGCTGCAGGATAAGCACTAGACCAAAAGGCTGGATTGAATCTCAAGGTCAGCGGTTCAAACTAACCAGCCGCTCCTTGGAAACCCTGTTTCAGGGTTGCTATGAGTCGGGAACAGACTCGATGTTACCTGACAACAGTAACAACAACAACAACAGTAAAAGCATATACTTGTGAAAGTTGGGCAATGAATGAGGCACAGACCGTAGAAGAATTGATACATTTCAGTTATGGTGTTGGAGAAGAATATTGAGAGTACCATGGACTGTATTGGAAGAAGTACAGCTGGGATGCTTCTTAGAAGCCAGGATGGCCAGGCTTCATCTCTTATACTTTGGATGTTTTATCAGGAAGGACCAGTCTCTTGAGGAACGACATTAGGCTTGATAAAGTGGAGGGTCAGTGAAAAAGAGGAAGACCCCAACAAGATGGAAAGGCATAGATGCATAAATTACATAATACTGCATAAACGAATCTGGGATTCCTGGTTTTCATGTACTTGTCAATAGATAGTATTTTGTGTCACTCTGTATATCTTCTCTGTATCTCTAGAGCCCTAGTGGTGCTGTGGTTTAGGCATTGGATAGTTCAAATCCACCAGTTTTATGAGGAAAAAGATGAGGTTTTTTGCTTTATTAAAGATTTAAAGTCTTGGGAACACTATATAGGATTTCTGTGAGTCAGAATTGACTTGATAGCAATGGGTTTGGGTGTTGGTTTGTGTTTTCTTTAATTTCCTGTTAATCCATATTCTTACCTGCTCTGTGTTTATTGTTTGTTGAAAGTAGTCATTCAGATAAACATACAGATGTTAAGCAAGGACTATTTGAAATAAAATAAAATGGAAATATTGTAAGCAACAGGATGGAATTATGTAATTTCCATTACATGGTGATCAGTGGTTGTGTGCCATCCAGTTAACGACTCATAGTGACCCTGTATAGGATTATTTTTTGAAGCCTCTCGTATATAAGCTGTCACTTTAAAAGCATCTAAAACACCTAAAAATTTTTATCACAGATAACGCTTGTGTATTTAAAAGTATTTAAAAACAATAGTTTAGAAATTTCTGAACAAATGAGATAGTAATTAAATGATTTATTTTAAAAAAATACCATTTTTTTTCTTTTTAGTGCTTTGTTTTGATGTTTTTCCTTTACCTAAGTGTTTTATTGAATTGTAACTATATGTGGTGTAAATGATTGTGGGGCCTTGAATATGAAGTTCCTAGTAATGTTTTCAAGGAGCTCTGGTAGTGTAGTGGTTACGAATCGGGCTGCAAACCGCAAGGCCAGCAGTTTGAAACTACCAGCTGTTCCGCTGGAGACAGATGAGGCTTTCTGCTCCCGTAAAGATTACAGCCTCGGAAACCCTGTACAGGGTCTCTATGAGTCGGAACCGACTCCATGGCATATAGCAACAACAACAACAAGAAGTAATGTTTTCAGGAGAAACTTAAAAAGTAGCAGCATTCTTCTCTTAGTATCCATCTTAATGATAAACTATTAACACTTTCTTTTTATCTAACTTAAAGTTTTGTCACTCATATTGTGTTTCTGTTTACACTAGTCTTTATTTTTGTGTAAAATTTTTATTTTGAAATAATTTGGTTATATGGAACTGTTTTCATGTGAATAATCTTAAACATATACCAAAAGAACTACTTAAAACAGAATGTATTTAGTACCCAAGTACCAATATCTAAGTGCTTACTTAATTTAAGTATTAAAGGGAAATGAACGTATTTTATCATCTTTGCCAGCAGTGTTAATAATAGTACAAGTACAATCAGTATTGTTGGGAAAGAATTTTATGTATAAACACATGCTTGTTTGCTCATGGATGCTTTTGTTTATTTGTCAGCACCAGGTTTATTTGTGAGCATTACATACACATACAAACAACTCAGTCCCAGAACATAGAACTTTTTTTTCCCCAAGTCTTTTCCTTGTTTGTTAAGAACATTTTGTTAATCCAGATATTGCCCTAATGACCAGTTTGATACATAATTGCCTTCCTGTCTGTTTCTAATATTGTGCTTCTGCAAGAACAAGAGCATTTTTCTTATTCTATCCCAAGTGACTTCTTAATAGCAGCCACTCTGCTTTACAAGTTTTTCTTGTCTGATCTAGAACCAGTACAAATTTCTATGTTATGTGCTAATTAGATAAGGATTTTATGTGTGCCATTGTTTCGTAGTAACTTCTGTGTGAGTCAGATTCAAGTCTTTTCCTAGTTGATTAATTCTACTGAAGGAATAATAAACATTTGGCTTTTTAAACATTGTTGTTTAAGTGCCTCCAAGTGGTTTTGACTCACAGTGAGACTGCATAGGCTTTCCAAGGAGCAGCTGGTTGGCTTGAACTGCTGTACTTGTGCTGATGATCCACAGCACCGCACCATAAGGCCTTTGTAAACATTAAGCTTTGTGAATTAATTCTGAACTGTGAAGTATGCAGAAATCATTGAATTGGTTATTTCCTTTAGCTGCTGCTGGGGGAATTTGTTACATAGGTACTCAGAAAACATTGACATAAAGCACTGATTATAGATAATATGTAAGCTCAAACTTTTTTGTGACAAAAACAGGAATTTTTACAGAGGTGTTTATACTTTAAGATTTTCTCAAATCGCTTGCCAAGCATAAGTCAGTGATTATCTCATGTTTTACTAACATTGTTTCAAGACAGTGAAAAATATTCAGAGTATAAGACTTTTTGCTGCTTTGACATAGAATGTATTCTGTGTTTATTTCTAAAGTCAAGAAGAGGAAAGTGAAGATGAAGATGATACTCAAAGTTCCAAATCTGAAGAACATCATTTGTATACTAATCCAATTAAAGAAGAAATGACGGAGTCTAAGTTCTCTAAGTACTCTGAAATGAGTGAGGAAAAGCGAGCTAAGCTTCGTGAAATTGAGGTTAGTATTCTAGTGAAGTTTAAACTGTACCTCCTGGCTTTTTACTTCTTCTCCAACTTAGGCTATTTCTTTCTTGGCATCATACCTTTGTACATACTTCTCTCTCCCTCTTTCTGTGAGTTACTAACAGTGTATTCTGACTTGTGGTGACCTCATGTGTGCAGAATAGAATTGCTCCATAAGTTTTTCAAGGCTGTAACCTTTTGGAAGCTGATCGCCTCTGGGTGATTTCTAACTGCTGACCTTTTGACTAGACATCATGCGCTTAGCTGTTTGCACCACTCGGGGATTCTTTTCCCTCTGCCTAGAAACTTTCATTAGTCAGCTTACATGAAGCCTGATTTTTCATTCAGACCTCTTATCTCAAGCATCACTTTTTCACTATAGTGTTCACTGCTCCCTATTTATCTCTCATAATTTTACAGTATTGTATAATTGATACACAAAGATATATCTGTTACTTTTATTTTTTTTAACATCTGTCTTCCCCACTAAGCTGTGTTTTCCATGAGAATTGTTTTCTGTTCATTACTCTTAACTCTTGTCACATAGAAAATACTCTTATTTTATTAATAAAAGGTGAAACTGAATCGTATATAGGTGTATTTTAGAGTAAAGAAATTGATTCTAGTGAATAGGTCATCTGTAAATATTCATTGTATTTTGAGTGGCTTTGTGTTGTATTATGTGGAGTTTCTGGGCCATTAAAACAGTTAATAGGTTTGACTGTTAACTGAAAGGTCACAATTTTGAGTCAAAGGAAAAAGTAAAATTGTTTTCTGACACGTTGAAGTTTTGGAAATGTAAAAATTTAGGCTCATTTAAATGCCCATGCCCATTCTGATGGGGCTTCAGAGAAAAAAACTACGGAGAGCTCAGACAGACTTCTCCCTTCTCCCCTCATCCTTTTAATTAACTTGTTTTACCAAAGACTATTCAGCTGGTATGGCGCTGTGGGTTATTGCGCCAGACTGCATAGCCGTTTGAACTGCAAGGTCGGCAGTTCAAGCTCACCGGTTCATGCTCACCAGTTGCTCCTTGGAAACCCTATATGACAGGGTTGCTATGGGTCAGAACTGACTCTTAACAACAACAACATTCAGCTATATCAAGGAGAGAAGAGTTTTATAGTGGGAACCCTCCTTGTCCCTGGCTCTAAGGTGTTAAAACAGTCTCAGTAAATGCTAGCAATAGTAAGGCAGTCAGTCTAGAACCTCAGAAATATACATGCGAATGAATTTTAATACTGTCTGGACCGCAAGATCGATTTGAAACACAATGTCTTTGGTTTAAACTCACCAGTCACTCCTTGGAAACCCTCTGAACAGGGTCGCAATGATTCAGAAATGACTGAATGGCACTTAACAATAACTACAACAATCCACTATTTTGCATGCATACTGTGTATCTGTTGATGTTCACCCATTTGATCAAGAGCCAACGATACTGAAGGAAGAATTCCAGGGTGCACTGAAGGCATTGGCAAAGAACAGGGCTGCAGAAATTGATGAAATACAAATTGAAACCTTTCAACAAACTGATGCAGCACTGGGGGCACTCACTCACTATACCAAGAAATTTAAAAGACAATTATATGGCTAACTAACTGGAAGAGATCCTTATTTGTGTCCATTTCAAATAGAGGTGACCCAATGAAATGTAGAAATCATCTAACAATATCATTAATACCTAACGCAAGCAAAATTTTGCTAACGATTCCAGAATGGCTGCAACCATACATTAACAGAAAACTTGCAGAGGTTCAAGCCAGATTAAGAAGAGGACATGGGACAAGGGATATCATAGCTGATGTCATGTGAAGATTGACTGAAAGCAGAGAATATCAGAAAGATGCTTAACTGTGCTTTATTGACTACACAAAGGCTTTCAGTTGTGTGGATCATGACAACCTATGGACAGCATTACAGAGAATGAGTATTATAGAACACTTAATTGTGCTTATGAGGAACCTGTACATAGACCAGAGGCAGTTGTCCAAACAGAACAAGGGAACAGTGAATGGTTTAAAATTAGGAAAGATGTGCAGCAGGGTTGTATTCTTTCACCATACTTACTCAGTATGTATGCTGAGTAAATAATCTGAGAAGATGGATTAAATGAAGAAAAACGTTGCATCCAGGATAGGAGGAAGATTGATTAATCTGCGATATGTAGATGATACAACCTTGCCTGCTAAAAGCTAAGAGAACTTGAAATACTTACTGATAAGGTCAAAGACCACAGCCTTTTGATATGGGTTGCACTTCAACATAAAGAAAACAAGAATCCTCATCACTGGACAAATAAATAACATCATGGCTCCTTGGACACCCTATTACAGGGTTGCTATGGGTCTCAACCAACTCTACGGCACTTAACAACAAGTGGAGGAAAGATTGAAATTTTCAAATATTTCATTTTGCTTGGATCAACAATCATCAGTCAGGAAATCAAAGAACGTATTTCATTAGGCAAATCTGCTGCACAAGACCTCTTTAAAGTGTTGAAGAGCAAAGATGTCAGTTTAAGGACTAAGGGTGCCTCTCCCAAGCCATGTTATTTTCAGTAACGTTATAGGCATGTGAAAATTGGACAGTGAATAAGGAAGACTTTAGAAGAATTGATGCATTTGAGCAGTGGTATTGGAGGAGAATATTGAAAGTACATTAGACTACCAAAAAAACAAACCAATCTGTGTTGGAAGAAGTACAACCAAAATGCTCCCTGGAATCCAATATAATAACCAGAGACTTCATCTCTCATACTTCAAACCAGTCCCTGGAGAATTATATGTTGGTAAAATGGAGGGTTGGAGAAAAAGATGAAGACCCCAGTGAGTTGGACTGGCAAAGTGGCAGCTGTGATAGCCTCAAATGTAGGAACGGTTATAAGGTAGGTGCAGGACCAGACATTGTTTCATTCTGTTATGCATAGCATAGGGTCGCTATGAGTTGTTACTGACTCAGTGGCACTTAACAACAGCTGTTGGCACTTTTCTTCTTATTAATTCATATCTGTCTCATTAGTTACCGCATTTCCCTACAGTTTCCACTCTTGGGATGGCACAAGTTTTCACCAACCATTGCTCAGTTTTCAACTAATCTTAAAAAGGTCAACAGCATTTTGTTTTAACCTTGTGCAGTGTCAACATGGTGCCAATTATAAGTAGAGATCAGGGGATTATCAGAGTTAGTAAAACGATTTATTTTACTGGCACATGCTCATAGTAATAGAAAGCTCTTTGTAATCTCTCCTTAACGATGTGACTTCAAGTTAATTGTTTGCTTTGTCGTTAACCATAGTTAAATGTATAAAATTTATTAAGTAAATAACTATAAAATATCTTCTACTTTTCTTTCTTCTATACGAGATGTAGAAACAAAAGCTCTTTACTGTGAATTCATTTGTTTGCCCATAGAATCCTTCAATATTGCAAGTCTAGGCTTGATTTTTTCCCTCACTTTTGTCACCTGGAGATATGCTGTGTGTGGTCTTCCCTTTTGGTTTTCTAACTCCAGATCTTTATACATTTCATTATATATGGTTAACTATGTCTTTTTGAACTGTCTTTTAAAATTTTCTATTCAAAAATTTTTTTACCTTCTCAATTCTTCAATTTGCTTTAGCATTTCTATGCTGGAGAGCAAGTTTCAGTCTTTTCTGACATCCAGTTTGGTCTTTTTCTTTTTTGTCTTCTTAATGACTTTTTGCTTTTTTTCTGTATGATATTCTTGATGCCATCATGCACCTCAAAGACCTGGTCTTTGGTCATTAGTGTCTAATTCATTGAGTCTGTTCTTCAGATGATTGAATTCAGGATGCAGAAAGCATCAAAAGAAGATGGAAGGAATAGTCACTATATCAAAGAGAAATGGTTGATGTTCAACCATTTAAAGAGGTATTATATGATCAAGAGCCAATGATACTGAGGAAGGAAGTCCAAGGTGCACTAACAGCATTGGCAAAGAACAAGGCTCTGGGAATTGATGAAATATAAATTGAAATCTTTCAGCAAACTGATGTGGCACTGGAAGCACTCATTCATCTATGCCAAGAAATTTGGAAGACAACTAGCTAGTCAACTGATTGGAAGAGATCCATATTTGGTCCCGTTCCAGTTAGAAGTTATCCAAGGGAATGTGGAAATTATCAGACAATATTAATATCGCATGCAAGTAAAATTTTTGCTATAGACAATTTTAAAATGGCTGCTGCAGCGTGTTGATAGAGAGCTGCCAGAGGTTCAGACTGGATTCAGAAGGGGACGTGGACTGAAGGATACCATTGCTGGCTTAAGTTGGATCTTGGCTGAAAGCAGAATACCAGCCAAATGTTTACCTGTGCTTTATTGAATACACATGTGGATCATGTGGATCATGACAACCTATGGACAACATTGTGTAGAATGAGTACTCCAGAACACTTAATTGCGCTGATGAGGATCTTGTACATAGATCAAGAGGCAGCAAGGGAACACTGACTTTCACCATAGTCATTCAGTCTGTATGCTGAGAAAATAATTCGAGAAGTTTGAGTATACTAAGCAGAAGGTGGCATCGGGATTAGAGTAAGATCATTAACAACCTACGATATGCAAATGATACAACCTTGCTTGCTGAAAACAAAAAGGGCTTAAAATACTTACTGATGAAGATCAAAGACCACAACTTTCAGTATGGGTTGCACCTCTATATAAAGAAACAAAAATCCTTCCCTTTGGACTAATAATAATACCTTCAAGATAAATGGGGAAAAGATTGAAGTTGTCAAAGTTTTCATTTTGCTCGATCAGCCATCAATACTCACGGAAGCAACAGTCTACAAATCAATGACGTATTGCATTAGGCAGATCTGCTTCACAAGACCTCTTGAAAGTGTTCAAGAGCAAAGATGTCAGTTTGAGGACTAAGAAGCACCAGACCCAAGTTAATAACCTCATATGTATGTGAAAGTTGCAATGAAGAAGTCCGTAGAAGAACTGATGCATTTGAATTAATGGT